TGACTGCAGATAATTAAAATTACATAAAATTTTGGATGTGAGTGTAATTAAGAAAAATATAATTGATTGTCATATTTTCAAAAAAAAAATAATAAATCAATTCAATAATTTATAAACTTAAAATTTACTATTAAAATATAAATTAATTAAAATTTTTGTATGGAATTTAGCAGATCGGAGTATATTTTATTGTATATAGTTCGAGATTTTTAACTAGTTAAAAATATTATTTTTTAATGAAAAGAATATTAATTTTTAATTTTAATACTATATATTTTATAAATATGTGATATAAACTGAAAGATCATAAAAATATAATTGATTTTATTTTAAATTTCTATAAAAATTCATAAAAATATAATTTAAAATGTATTAATTATATTTATTTTTTCAAAAGAAGAAAATAGAAGACAGAAAAAAGCTGTTTTTTTTGGCTAGGTCACAGCTATATATACATGTAACGACATTTCAATCTTTCTTAGCCTTTATTAGAATTTAGACAGAGGGGATTCATAAAAGAGAAATTTGGTACATATATACGAATATCAAGGCTATATATACATATATATGTGTACATACGTGTGCTATATAAACTTATAATCCGGTAGCATTACCCAAAAGCCTACGTTTTTACAGTAATATACGTATATACATATATACATACAAATGTATGTACGGACGAAAATATGTATGTATATGTACTGGGATAGTATTATTAGTCGTTTATTACATACTAATATAATTATTTAACTAAACTTATATGGAGCATGCGTGCGATCACCTATGAAAGCCAAGCATGCGATGCACTATCCATAGAATTTTCTTAAATTCCGAAATAATACATATATATAATATATATCATACATGAGTAAATGTAAAAAAAAAAAATGCATGACTATATTATATAGTAAGGCCATTGACCATATATAAAAATACACCATGATACGTATGTGTCAATCAAGATAGTGTGTGTGTGTGTGTGTGTGTGTGTTTACATATATATATATATATATATATATATATATTCTATTTAACTTCTATTTGAAATAATTTTAAATTTAACCCATAGGAGACTCATATCATCAATTTTTAATGATATCTATCATATGTATTAATATATCTCTTTAAAAAAAATTATATTAATAAAAAATACAATAAATAAATTAATTAAATGACTTATATAAAATTTAATTACAATTATTAAAAAATTACTAACAAAAATTGAAAAAATAACTAAAGTTCGAGGACTATTTATACCATAAAACTTATATAAGTGTGTATAATATATACTTTTTTAATATGTATTCTATTTTCATGCATCAATATTGTCAAGAAAAAATAATTATTTTCTTAATGAAATAAAAATTGAATTCACGTAACAAGAGAAATGTTTTTCATTATTTAATCGAAAAGATATATAACCATGGAATAAAGATTAAATGAAACAGGATTGACTGCATGGTGGAGTTGTGGAAGCATCGATTTTTTTTTGTATTTTGAAACTTAGCTATATGAAATTATATGCCACTGTAAACATTTTTCGAGTTAACCTAAACCAAGTTGTTGTTTCTATTCATAAATATATATTGCTTTATGAGATTGTATCGTTTAAGTATCACAAACACGCATAAATTCTTATCTATATTGAGTTAGGAGAATATATACAACCTAACTAGAGTATGTTAACATAAAACCACTTACATATATCTTTAGTTTCATTCTAAAAGTACTTCTTGGATGAGATCGAACAAAAAATATTATCCACTTTCATTGACATAGACTAACTAGTTCAACTTGGGTATGATCTCTTCGTATAAACTTATTTCGTAACTCACGTATAAATTCGTCTCATATTCAGTTTAATATTTTTTATTTATTTTTTTAATTTCTCTTGTAAAAATTTGAAATATCACAATATTTTAACATCATAATTAATTAATGCAAAATATAAATAGTAACCCTACATATATTATCATATATTTTTTTTTGAAAGACCTTATGTTATATTAATAACAAAAGATTCTATAAGAATTTCAACTAAATTCGATGCTAACATGATAAGATTTCAGTTAAACAAATTATAGTGTTTTCCATGTGGTAAAATTACTGTGTCATTTATTTATATTTATGTAAATATTCCTTCCAAAAAATCTATTTACAATATTAGGGAAAAAAATTAACCCAAAAATAATATTTAAAAACATGAACAAGAACCGTCCAAATCGAAGATAATCAAGTTATACATATATATATACACACACACATACATATGTGTGTGTGTATAACGTAAAACACATATGTGCAGAATCAAGACTCGAGAGAATATTCATCAACCGATTATATGGAGAGGGACCCATCAATGTTCTAACTGATCTTCCTCTACCGCTTGATCATATTACTTTGGAGATAAAATATCAGAAAAAATAAAAATAAAAAAACTAAATATATATTTTTAGAAAAAAAAAATAAAATAAAAAATAAAAAAGTCCAAGGGGAAGGGGCTAAATGCGCATGAAGGTCACGTCAAAAAAAAAAAAAAAAAGACACAGAAGGTATGTGATGGTCACGTCCGTTACTTTCCTTTTTTATATTTTTATTTATTATATTTATTGTTTAATTTATTATTATTATTATTTTATTTCAAATAATTAATTGCAATATTACTGTAGAGCCGACAACAAGGACGGAAACAGCCGTCTATTAACCAACAACTCCCTTCTGATAAAGCCTGTCCTTCATGTCTCTCCTCTTCTTATTTATTTATTTATTTATTTACATCTTAAATTTTTCCTATAAATTAAAATAAATATATAAAGAAAAACTAAAAATGAAAAAATATATTTTTATTTTTATTTTTTTATTGCGATTTGCTGAGTTCAGCAAAAACGACAGAAGACGATAAATAAAGCTTTCTCTTTCTTTTTCTCTTGCTCTTTCTCGTGCATGCGCTGACGAGAGACGACCACATCAGGCCGACCACATTATTACCAAAATACCACTGAAAAATAAATAAAATATTTAAATTAAATTAATAATAAAAGATTTACATAACATGATCCCCAAAACACTCCTTGACTTGACTCTCCCTTCACCTGTCACTATCATGACCCGACCCGACCCATCACCCACCTCTATAAAAACCATCTTCGTCCCTTCCACCATTCCTCACAGCTTCCACAACACTTCTGACTTCCCCTTTGTTTTCCTGATAGTTATCTGTTTACGTAATACGCCAGAAGCAGAAAATCATCAAGCGAGGATCTTTAGTGAAGTATAGAATTCAAAATGCAGTACCAGGCGGAGCCATGGGGACGAAGCTCGTACATGCGAGCTGCTTCTGCGGCGAGAACAATGGTGGTCGTCAATGGCGATCCTTTGGAGAGGATACAGCGGCTGGCGGCGGAGAATGCGGTGGTGATATTTAGTTTGAGTAGCTGCTGCATGTGCCACGCTATCAAGCGCCTGTTCTGCGGCATGGGGGTGAACCCCACGGTGTACGAGCTGGACGAAGACCCGCGCGGGAAAGAGATGGAGAAGGCGCTCATGAGGTTGATGGGAACTTCGCCTGCTGTCCCTGTTGTATTTGTCGGCGGCAAGCTCGTCGGAGCCATGGACAGAGTCATGGCCTCGCATATTAATGGCACCCTCGTGCCTCTCCTCAAAGAAGCCGGAGCGCTCTGGCTCTAGCTTTGACCTTCTTTCTTTTTCTTCTTCTCTGGATCTCTACTTCATACTGTAACAGTTTTATTTTCCTTTTTACTTTTTTTTTTTACCGATAAAAAATCAGAAAAATGGCGACTTGAGAAGATTATATAATAGGAAAGTGAAGCTTTTTATCTGCTACTACGCATGCAGAAGAAAGCTGGAAGAGGAGTAGTACGTTTTGTTTAAGCTGTCTCCTCCATTTTGATTAATATTACACTTTTAAGTAACTACTAATTATAATTAATTAATTTATTCTGTGTACTAATTCTTATCCAATTACGACGTCGTCTCGCCGACAGATAACGACACCCTTCCGCTTATTTTTATTAGGCTTTGTCTCAAAATGGAAATGGAAGTTGGTGACTTTGTCGCCAGTTTGGTATTTTACTGGCTGTAAAACAGTAAAAAAAGAAAAAAGTAAACAGAATTTTACACCGAAAAGACAAGTTCAAAATTTACGCCGGAAAATTCGCCGGTTAGAGAAAAAAAAAAAATCCAACTTCTTGTTTGGGAGGTGGCCTGAGAATGAATGATGCGAGAGGGTGGTGAACTTTTTAGATGGTGGCGATCAGGTGGGGGCACCTGCAGGATTTTACTCGGTGGACATGCAAGGGGATGGAAGAGTAGGGTGGGGCCCTCAAATGATATTCTTTGACGGAACCTGATTTGACGTGACCTGTGGGGAGAAGAGTTTGGAAGTGCGGATGATGGATCCAGTGTCCGTACAATAACGGGCCCCACCTAATTTTTAGAGCTTGCAAATTAGTTTGCCACGTTTGAGTTTTCGCGCTGACGTGGATCTCGTTCTTTTTCTCCTTAATTAATGAGGCAAAATGTGCGCGTTTTGGAGTTTTTTATTTTCAATTTTCACATTTTAGTAATTTCATAAGTTTTTATTTTTTAAATAAAAACTAACTGATAATTCATTTATCATTAACAACACAATTAATATCTCAACAAAAAAAAAAATAATAATGTTATTAGTTTTTTAATAAAACTTTTAATTTGAAATAAGTTTATATTTTTATAAAAATATCAAGTAAAAAAATAATTAGTATAACATTTTTAAAGTTTGGGAAAAGGATTCACTGCCAACTTGCCCGATTGGAAAATACATAAAATAGTTTTATGTTCCCATACCGCCCCCTTTCTTTGGATTGAGACGCAGTACATTTTGAATATATATAATCGCATAGAGCATATACATATATATATATATATAGAGGTATGATTCTCTTATGATAGGGCAAATTCTTAAAAGATTTGGCTTTTATCTAATTTCCCTTTTTAGTGGGGGTTGGGGTGGTAAGTATATCACCTTTGGAATTTCCTAAAGACATTGGTGAATATATTAAAATATCTTTCTGTAGATATTTTAAAACTTAAATCAATGTTTTTTTGTTTTTTTAGTTTCATTTATGATCCTTATCTCTTGAAAGAATCTAACCAGACACTTCTGAAGAGGATCTTGAAATAAGATATTATTATTTTTTTATAAAAATTAAAAAAAATTAAATATTTTTTTTTGTTTGTTGTGTCTATTTTAATTTTAAAAATTAATATTTTTTTTTACCCAAATAAATTATGATTTATCGAAATAAATCTAACTAGACTTCGTTGAATCAAACATTACAAATCGATCAACATCAATTTATAATACACTTACAAAATAATGAATTTTATATTCTTAGTAAGATTTAAACTACATGAGTTCTACTTCACACAATATATTTTTTTAACTTAAATATATCATAATTTGTTGAAATAAATCCAACTTGTAACGATTCGAAATTTGAAAGGAAATAAATTATAAATTGAATGTATAAGCAAAATAATAGAGTTAGAGTTTACATTCCTCACACAATAATTTAGAATACCCAATAGAGTTACGTGAATAACTCTTATAAAATAAAAAACGAAAAATCAATAAATAAATAAAAAGTAAATAATTGGGTATCATAGGACGACCTTCACTAACATTTGAATGGAGTTCGGGTGGTGAACTATTCGAAACCAACTTGTTGATCTGGATATGGATATTGATCATCTTAATTTGAAATTGTAGCGCCCGGGAAATTGAAGAAGAAAAAAAAAAAGGCCACGTCAGCAGTCCCGGCCAACCGGGACCTACCACGTGGCAAGACCACGTCGATCCAGGACGGGCCACGTTGGCGATCCGCGTATGCGCGATCGGACGGCCCAGATCAAGCGTGCGATCGGACGGCCCAGATACAATCGCACGGACGGCCCAGATTCAATCAAAAACGGATGGTCCAGATTAAATCAAAATGGACGGCTGAGATCAAAAGGCAAAAGGGTATAAATAAGACCCCCACACCAGACCACAAAACCCTAGCCGCCTGCCCTCTCCGGAGAAGACGAACTAGAAGCCGACCGCCGCCACCCGCCGCCGCACCGGAGAGATTTCCGACCGCCGATCGAGGTAAATTTCATACCCCCAACTCGTTTTTTCCACGCTGATTTCCCCTGTGGCCAAATCGGAGCCAAAATCCAGGCCAAACGGCCGAAAAACACGGCCGAAACCCAGCGGCGCCGCCGCTCCCCTCCTCGATTTTTGCCTCCGATGAGGCCCTTCCCGGCCTCCGTTTAATGCAATTTTTATATCACCGTGATCACCATTCTTTTCTCTACAGGTTGATCGGAGCCGAATCACCAAAACACGAACTTCACCGGAGAGCCGCCGCACCCGAGAGCACCGCCGCCGGTAAGCTTCGGTTTTCCGTAATTTTTTGGCCCCCCGAGGGCCCTAGAGTTGTTTAATCGCAAGGATCGATGCAAGTGTGGCCGAATTCGGTCGGAAACGGTATTAAAGTTCAATAAATGATAAAACGGTATTTCATGAATCAACGAATGTGTGAAATTGCTTAAGGTCGCTAATGGAGCCCGAGTCTAATGTGGTTGTCGGTTAATTGTTATTTGCCATGTTTTACAGTTTAGAAGTAGTATGAGGTTTGATGTTTTCATTTTATAGTTTCGTGTGCATATTTTACTGTTTTACCGATTATGGATTGAATGACTGGGATATTGATGCTGTATGTTTGTCTGTTTGGCATAAATTACTGTTTTGCTTGTTTGTATGTGGATTGATGATGCTGACTGAGGGAAAAGAGAATGATAGATTATGTAAATGGGTAATTGTATAATGTGGTCAGCCTGACTAGATATCCTGGGAGATGGTGGACGGACCGGGTCCGTAGGGAACCCTACCGGGATTGTGGTCTCCCATACCGGACGGGGTATGGAGATCTTATGTGTTTTGGCGCCCATACCGGACGG